CTGCATTTCAAAGCCGTGGCCTGCACTGAAGCCCAGCTTCTCTCTCTCTAATTTTTTCAGAAGCTCAGTTGTGTCTGTCTTTGAAGGTAAATGAGAAATACAATTAAAATAGAGAAAAGGAAATTCCGACACTTAGTGAAATAACTGTGGCTCTTACTTGGCCAGAATATCACCAATCCCCCAAGAGAAGAATGAAAATTTCCCATTTGCCGTTCTTCCCTGGACCAGAAGCCCAGCATGGAACATGGATTTGAAAAATAGGCATCTATTGAGTTACACATCCTCCTAAGCAGCTCCAAGACTATCTGGAAAATTCCAGTCTGAATGGGAAAAGACAGCCTCTGGGGACCAACAGCACATGGTCGTGGTTGGCTTGGGGCCAGAAGGCGGGCATGGGCGCTGGGCCCCTTGGCCAGCATCAAGCTTTGAGCCCACTGCTGCAAGGAACAAGGACCGCTGCCCAGGAATCCAGGGTCCTCAAACAGGCTCTGCCTCAAGTTGCTCTGCGACCCGGGCAGTTCATTTCAGTGACCTTGCCATCTACACTCCTGCAAAGCTTCTTCTCCTCCAGGGCTCCCTGTCTTAGCATCTGGCACCTGCCAGATGCCGTCCTTGACTCCTCCTCCCTCAGACACCGCATCCCATCGCTCACTAAGCAGCCTCATCCACCTGTCTCCACGCCCGCCCCCATCACTCTAAACCAAGCCCCCAGCGTCTCTCGACTGGACCAGCACAGCTGCTCTGGGCTTCTCTGGCATCCAATCCTTTCTCCCTGTGGCAGCCCGAGTCTCTTTGAAAGTACACATCTTATCTGCTGTCGCCTTGCTCCACCTGTCAACGATTTCTCCTTGCTCTTGCATAAAGATAAACCTTCACAGGCACGCACACTCCCCATCAGGGTGTACGAGAGTGGCCCACAGGCTGGACCCAGCCCACAGATGGGAGGGGTTTTGTTGGTTTGTTCTTTTAGAGGTTAACTTGTTTCCAGTATTTAGAAATCAGGAAGTATGACATAAAAATCTGGATTTCTAACTTCTCTTGAAAAGCAGAAAATCTGTCAGTCCTGGCCCAAGATCTGTCATGGGAACAGTAGGTGGTGCCCTCATTGGACAGGGGATGTCCCCCCAGTTGACACAGGCCCCACCGAGCCCGTCAGCTTGCCCACCCTTCACTTACTCACTTATAACACAGGTGTGGCCCTCCTGCCCCACGCGATGTGGCCCGCTACCTCTCCAGGGCACCACACTCCCCATCTCAGTGCTCCAGCCCCTGCGGTTTCTGCCTCTGAGCAAATGCCGGGGCCTTCACTTAACCTGTTCCCTCTGCCTGCAACGCCTCTCCCCCCCAGTCCTGGCCTGGCTACACCCTATCCATCCTGGAAGCGTGAGTCTAAATGTCACTTCTGCAGGACACCATCCCTGGCCCCCGGCTCTAGGATGGAGCTCTACCCTTCCCCATCACAATGGTCATCGCTGGCCAGCTGCCTTCCCTATGAGCCCCCCAAGGGCGGGGAGAAGTCTGATCTCCTTGGTACATGCTCACCAGCCACCAGCCCAGCACCTAGCACAGAGCAGGAGCTTTCTAAATACTTGCTGAATGAGTGAATAAACTGGAAACCTCTGGGTTTAGTGTACATACGCTTCCATGACATGATCCACTGGAGGGAAAAGATGCAGAAGCAAAGAGAAATAATAGTACAGGCCAGGCTCGTGTACAAGCTGTCTGTCCTGGGGACATGCTGAATAGTGTCACTGTTTGCCAGAGATGTTTCCTGGAAGAAGCCACGCTGGAGTGGAGCTTGGGGATTTAGGACTTGTGAGCACGCCTGCCACTGAGGAGGACACTGGCTCACAGAGGTGGGGTGACCTGCCCAAGGTTACACAGTCCATGCAGACTGTGAACATCAGAAGGGTGTGGAATATACCCAGTTCATGGACATGCTCAAAACTGTAGCACCAGCATCCAACTGAGTCGTCAGCAAATGTGCTGAATGAGTGAATGAAGAGCGAAGACAAGTTCAAGAAAGACCTGGGGACCTGTAATGGACTGAATATTTATGTCCCCCCCCCCCAAATTCATATGTTGAAATCTTAACCCTCAAGGTGATGGCATGAAGGGGTGGGGCTTTGGGGAGGCTATTAGGTCATGAGCATGGAGCCCTCGAGAATGGGATTAGCGCCTTTATATGAAGAGACAGGGAAGAGAGGATGTCTCTCTCCCCTATTTGAGGACGCAGAGAGAAGGCGGCCATCGACAAGGCAGGCAGAGGGCCCTCACCAGAACCTCACCGTGATGGCGCCCTGACCTCAGACTTCCAGAACCATGAGGAATAGATTTTGTTCATAAGACACCCAGTGTACAGTATTTGTTATAGGCGCCCCAACAGACTAAGACAGGACCCAAGTAGCAGAAAGGACCTCAAGCTGACTTACAAAAGAGGAGCGTGAGGAGTGACGAGGGATTGGAGAGTCTCCCAAAGGAGGAAAAGCTTAGCCTTATTGGGGCTGATATTCATTTATTTTACTCCTGGAGGACACCAGTACTATTCCTTGACTTTAAAATACATTTTTATGTTTAAAGAACAGAAGCTGTAATTGTCATATCGTTTTTATTGTCACACGCATAATGCTCAATTTTAGAATTTTAAAATATCTTTAAAAACGAAGAGCAAAAATTTCTTTAATGTGGGACTTCATTGTGCTATGGGAGACCGTCTCCAATACACTCACAGTAGTGACAGAAATTGTCGTGCATGTGACAATCACAGATGTAAAGTGTGAGTTGCTTCTGCTTTTGCAAAGGAGAAAAAAAATTGTAGTCATAATAAGCCAAAAAGGCCGATAATAAAAGATCAGAAGCAGATGCCTCTGAGGTGACCTGGCCCAGCTGGAATATAAAAAGTCATGCACAACACTATAGAATTACATACTTTCAAACGATGGTAAACCTTGCGTTACGCGTATTTTACCACAATAAAAAGTGTTAGCAAAACATTCAAAAAACATTTTTTTTAAGTGATAAATGCCAACCAGCTCCCATTGTTCCACCATCACGTGTCCACCACGCCTGATTCCTCAGCTTATAAACCTTTGTGGATGAAGGCAGGAGCTGGCTCAGGGTCAGGAAGGCTCAGGCACAAAGGGGCCCTGTGTCCTCCTCACCGAGGCTCTCACCATGATATTGTGATTTATGATAAGAAACATGTATTTGGTCTTTGTCCTATTTCTGGCACAGAGCCCCTAAAACTCTTGGAATGTCCTAAGAGATAGGAATGATAAACTGATAAACGTGTCTCGATATTCACAGCAAACCCCTTTGAACCACACCTGAGTTTCTGTTAACGAGGTGACTTTTGGAAAGCACCTAAGGATGGAGCCTGGCTGCCAGGGGAACCAGTCCTGTGATTCGAGGGGCTGGAACCTTCAGTCCCCCGCTACCTCCAGGGAGGGAGAGCGGTGGAGACACATCCCGTACGTGGGTCTGAAAGCAGACCGACCCTTGTTCTGATCTCGGCTCCAACGCTTTTTTTACTGGTTGGTTCTATACCTCAGCTCGCTCTGCTTCCATTTCCACAGCTACAGGTACGAGCTGCTCACAAAGCAGCTGTGAGGATTTGATGACATCACAAGTAAGTATTTTACACAAGCACTGTCCGATGGGCGCCTCTGTTCCGCTGCTTTCTGCTGCTGCCTCCTCCTGCTGGGGTTCAGCCCACAGGGCAGGGCTGTCAGCTGTACTCTGTTCCAGGGCCCGAACTGGCGGGCACTGGACCCTCATTAGAAGTTTACTCTCCTCCTTCCCTCCTGGCCTTCTTGTGTAGGTAGGAAGGGAATGCTTCTGCATCCTTGGGAGGCATCCTAGCCATTCTCCTCCCCTCATCCTCATCGGATAATCAGGCAGAAAGCCCTGTGGACTCAATCCACCCCCTCTCTCCCCAGGGCAACTGCCTCAGTCCCCTCCCTCCTTTCCTTATCAGGAACACCAACAGCAGCCGTCTCCCACGGGGTCCTCTCCTCTCTTGTTACTCTTCCCACCCTAGTCTACAACACAGCCCCCTCACCCCCTCCAAAGCCACCTTCTAACTCAGATCTAGCCATGTCACTCCCCTGCTCTAGTGTTGCCCGGGGCTCCCTATCCCCCTAGGACGATGTCAGTGAATAGGGCCCTGATCTCTCAAGCCCCAGCGCTTGCTCTTCCCTCAGCCCCCAGCCACTCCCAGTTCTTTCACAGGCCTGCTCCCACCCCAGGGCCTTTCCTTTAGTTATTCCCTCTCTCTGCAATGTCTTCTCTCCAAACCCATCATCACCTGCCTAACTCCTGTTCACCCTTCAGGGCTCAGATTAGAGGCCACCTCCTCTGGGAAGCCTTCTCTGATCCCACCCTACCCCATCCCAACCTGGGTGAGGCATTCCTCTGTGTCAAGGCCACACAGCAAGCAAATTGTTGAACTGGGATTCAAAGTCAGAAACTTCCTGCTTCCAAAACAGGAAGCCCAAAACAGCAGACTGTGCAACTACATATTTACATAGGAAAGAAAGACTCAGGAGTGAGGTAGAGCTAAGCAACCATCTCAGAAATATGCCCAAAATATAGTCAATGAGAGCAGCAAGTTGCAGAACAACGTGTGTGGCATGACTGCACTTTAAAAACGATATATGTTTATACAGGTTTCTCTAAGCAAAGAAAAAAGCCTAAATGAATACTAACCTAGCAGTTAACAAGATATGGGGTGGGTGGATTTGAACATTCTGTAAGGTTTGAATTTGTTATGTATTCTTTTTATTCTAAAAAAAAAATCAAACCCAATCAAAAGAACACAACAACAACTTCTCTCCAATCATAAGGGAAAGGCTAGCATGCTCAGGGAGTCCAAGACACAGGGACAAGGCTTTGGAGGAAGGGCTCACCTCGGGCTACCCTTTATCCTGCAAGGGACATGGGGAGCTGTGATGGTGACATGAAACGAGAAGGGCCATGGCTGGCCGGGAAGCCACTCTTACCTTTCCCAGCAGCTCAGGCAGGCCCAGGACCTGCCCGGTGAACACACCAACACAGATGAAGATGGCAGTCACCTGGCCCAGGGAGCCGCGGATTTCCTTGGGCGAGATCTCGCTCAGGTACATGGGGAGTGCACTGAGGGCGATGCCTACGAAGGAAGCATGGCGGCAGTGAGAGAGATGACTTCTCCAAGGGAGGACCACCCTGGTCAGTGAGAGAGATCTCTTCCTAAGGGAAGGCTGGTCGCAGCACCTCCCTCTGCTTTGCGCTTGACGCAAATAGCACTGTAGCCACGTAGTACCAGTCCCAGCACTCTGCACCAACTGCCAGCGCTTCTGTATGCACTTTTCATTTAATCCGTAAAGTCTGGCTAGAAGGTGGATTTCATAGGAGAGAAAATAGCTGATGGTGATACTGGTGGTGGTGATAGTGGTAGTGATGGTGATGGTGGTGGTGATGGTGATGGTGGTGGTGATGGTGATGGTGATGGTGGTGGTGGTGGTGATGGTGGTAGTTGTGATGGTGGTGATGGTGGTGCTGGTGGTGCTGGTTAGAATGATGATGGTGATGATGGAGATGGTGGTGGTGGTGGTGGTGGTGGTAATAATAATAGCCAACACACATAGTCCTTACCAAGTAACAGGGGTCGTCCCTCTTCACGTACATTAACATATTTACCTTTCATAATAACTCTCTGAAGTAAGTGTACTATTATCATTCCCATTCTAAATATGAGGAAACTGAAGCACAGAGAGGTTGAGTAACTTTCCCAAATCACCAAGTAACATCCAGAGATGCCCAAAGAGATTATTTTGCCTAATAGTTCAGGTCTCTGATTCTAGAACTTGAACTCTTCCCACCAGCTAACAGCACCTCTTTACATAAATCATGGGACTCAGTTTTGAGATACCCTTATACACATTTTATAGCATTTTACAGACTAGGTCACCCACATATCACCTTATCACCTCTGAGATAAATTTACATGGTCAGAGGCTTATGACTGATATGTCTATTCAAAAAAGTAATAGTTATAAATACATCTCGCAAAATACAATACACTACACACACAGAGGGTCTGTTAGTAAAAATAGCAGGAAGCTTGTCAGTTTCAAGAAACTTTCTTTCCCACCCATCCCTGAGCAGGGTTCTTCCTAAGACACTTTATAGACCTGCAGATGTCTACAAACGCACTTAAGCATCCCAGGCAGATGTGGCTTGTTTAGAGCATAGACCGCAAGCTCTGGAGTCACACTGCTCCCAGGCTGTAATGCCTGCAGCTTACAAGCTGTGAGGCCTTGAGTGGGGAGCTTCTCTCAGCCTCAGTTTCTCTATCCACAAGATGGGATAAGAACTGAGTCCACCTTCATTGCTGTGGGAGTTAAATCAGACACGTTCAGTGCATCGCTCATCGTAAAGTAAGAGCCGGACAAATTTGTCTTATTCTTAGCACTCATTCTTATTGTCTTCTAATTTTTCACCAGATGGTGAGGAATCTAAAATCTCTCTCCTGCCCTGGCCTCCCAAGGCCTCTGGCACAGTTCCCGACACACTTCAGGCACCAATCAATGTGCTTCAAGTTCAGCTGAATTCATCCCACTGCCGGCATTCAGGGAGGCCCTTCCTAAAAAAAACACTAGCGAAGGGAACCTGCAGCCTGATTGATGAGCTGATGATCCCGTTCACGGCCTCGCGGGCAGGACAACTTTCCCCCTTCGCCACTCAAGGCAAACACGAGCCAGGGGCAAAGAGACGGGAATTATCCACAAAGTCACAACATAAACCTGATGAGATCTGAATTTTTATCCTAAACACGCATATTGGGCTGGCCACCGATCAACGTAGGACATTGATGCTCAGGGGGCAGGGCCACAGAGGCAGAAGCAGACAAGGATTCAAGTCGCAGAGCCCTCGTCTCTGCACTGGGAGACCTGGATCGAGTGAATCCCTCCACTTACTCATTACAAAATAAGGGTAGTAATCACGGTCTGTTCCTGTTGGGGTGGGAATGCAATCACCGCACGTAAGGCTCCCAGCTCACGTGTGGTCACTGGATAGACAATTAAAAACAGGTGGTTTCCTTACCCTGACACTCCTCCTACCCCCGGGGATAATTGTCATCGTCTCACAAAAAGCTAATAAGGAAATGACAGCCAGCAGGAAAGAGGCTCGCGGGTAGTGGGGAAGGGCATGGAGCTACAGTTGAGATAGTAATAATTCCTCCTCCGTATGGGGGCCGGGCACGCACTGAAGCGACGTGAAACACTTAGCAGCGTGCCCAGTATACAGTAAGCTGTCAATAAATAGTGACTGTTCTTACTTGGCCGTTGTGAAATGACATGGAAAAATGAGACGCTTGCGGCTAAACCAGTGGTGAATGAGGAGATAGCCACAGCGTGGCAAACTCATCTTGGTTTGCCGGGGACCGTCCTGGTTTTAGCACTGAAAGTCCTGTGTCCCATGCAAACCAGGATAGTTCCCTAGGCCCATGGTGCTGCACCAAGCATCCCACACACCTGAGTGGCCTCTCTGGACATATGACAGCATCTCCTGTCACTCTTCCCCCAGGTGCCCCAGCCTTAGGGTTTACCGAACACTCCAGGCTCATTCTGCTCGTAGGATATCCGCCTTTGCAAGGCTGTCACTCTCTGGATATTTATTTAATCCAGGCTGCAGAAAGGGTGAGGTCAGTAGAGTCATCAGTGGTTGGGAGTTGCAGACCCCTGGCAGCCTGGGACTCAGTTCTAATCATGGTCTAAGGAAACAGGCCCCAGAGGTTAGTCTGATGGGGGCTGCAGACTCCAAGAGGTGAGCAGAGAGCACCATGGCCTGGCTCTCTCTAAAACATCAACGGTCCCAGTCTACAGAGCACTTCACACCTTCCAGAACACCTTCCCCTTCCACAGGCTCTGTGTTCTGAGCGGATGCAAGGAGCAAGCGGGGGTCTCCCTCACGCAGAGCTAGCCTGACGTCCAGATTCCTCCTGGCATCCAATTCCTGCAGCAGCATTTCGGCTCATGAAAAGCAGAAGGGACCGAAGGAAAGTATTCTCTAGGGACAATCAGAGAGGCTGAAGAAATACTCTATGGACAACCATAAATTTGCATTTTTCTACTGGGGTGCAGCAAAATTTGAGTCCAGCCCAAAATTTGCGTCATGTTTTAAAATATGACACATTTTAAAACTGCACCAATAATACATGCACAGTTTGATGAATCATCACAAAGTGCACACACCTGTGCAATCCCCACCTAAGTCAAGGACTAACCTACAATACCAGCACCCCAGTGGGCCCCAGTTCCTGCACGTCCTCAGAATCACTGTCCCCTCCCTCCACCCCAGAGGGCACCACCAGCCTGACTGCCATCACGATAGATTAGCAAATGGATCAGAGAATATCTATTTCTTTTATGCCTCACCTCTTTTGCTGATATTATGTTTGTGAAATGAGCCCATGGTGCAGCGTGCAGCTGTGATTTGTTCATTTTCATTGCTGTCTAGTATTCCATCATGTAAGTCTACCACAGCTCATCCATCCTACTCTTGACGGACACTTCAGTGCTTTCAGTTCGGGGTTGATACTAATAATGCCTCACAAGCATTCTTGTACAAGTCTTTTGGTGCACATGCATGGAAGTTGTATAGAAATACATATATTGCAGTCATAATGTAGGCAAGTTCAGTTTTACGAGATAAAGCCAATTTCCCCAACTTACCATACTAACTTATACCTTTATAAAAGATGTATGAAATACCCTTTGCTCCACATATTTGCCAATATTTGACATTATCAGTCCTTTTAATTTTAGCCATTGTGGTTTCAATTTGCATTTCCTTAACTACGAATGCGATTTTATTTACCCGTTGGCCATGTTGTGTAGACGCCTGTTCAATCTCTAAGTCATTTCTGTAAGAGGTTGTCTGCCTTTTCTTATTGATTTGTGAAAGTTTCTTACTGTATTTTGGATATGAGCCCTTTGTCATTTCATTCATTGCAAAGATTTTCTTGCTCTCTATGGCTTGTCTTTTCATTAACGGTATTTTTTTTTTAATGAACCAAAGTCCTTTATTTTAATGTAGTCCAACTTATCAATTCTTTTACTTTAGTGCTTTTTCTAATTTGTTTAAGAACATTTTCCCTATCCGAAGATGGTGAAAATATGATTCTGTGTTATCTTCCAGAGTATTTATTGTTTTGCCTCTCATATCGAGAGCTACAATCCACCTGGGGTGAAGCAGTGTTCAGATTTCTTTTTTTGTGTGTGAGGAAGATTGGCCCTGAGCTAACATCCACTACCAATCCTCCTCTTTTTGCCTGAGGAAGATTGGCCCTGAGCTAACATCTGTGGAAATCTTCCTCTCTTTTCTATGTGGGATGCCGCCCCAGCAAGGCCTGATGAGCAGTGTGTAGGTCTGTGCCTGGGATCTGAACCTGCAAATCCTGGGTCACTGAAATGGAGTACATGAACTTAACTTATACCACTGGGCCGGCCCCCAGATTTCATTTTTGATGGAATTAAAATGTCAGAGTGTCGATACAAATGCAGCATTTGCCATCCTGGACTGTGCTTTCTGTACTCCATCCCTCAGATAATTCCCCAAAGAGAAGCAGCAGCAGAACAACACAGATAGCAACTCCTGAACAGTAAGTTTTGTTTTACGTAAACAGCCACGTTGTAGAAATAATAACCTAAGCTGTAATTGTAGAAATTTCATATGACCATACACATAAGCAAAAAGGGATTCTTTTCACAGTTGCTGATACTATTACTTTCCTTCCTAATTACCCCAGGAATCCATGTTTCCAGAAGGACGCAGCACATAGAAACATTCCATTTTTAAAAACTTCACATAAAATTTTCCTGGCACAAAAACAAAGGTGCATATGGACATTCTGCTCGATTCTTGGAGTCTGCAGCCCCCCTCAGACAAGCCATTAGGGCCCGTTCTCACAGAGCACTGTTAAAACCAAGTACCAGCCAGCCCGGGGTCTGCAACTCCCAACCAGTGGCGACCCCGACTGACCCGACACCATTTATTGAAAAGCCTCCTTCCCTCAGCTCTCCAGCTACACCTCTGTCGCAGATTACGAGTCCATACATGCACGGGTCAGCTTCAGAAGTCTCCGTTCTATTCCACTGATCTATT